GTCAAAAAAAATGAACAAGGAATTATTGGCTCCGCTATTCGCTTAGCCTTCCAAATAATCTTCTTCTTCTTCTTCGCATTTCAAGCTTATTGCATATCGCATATTAGCTTATTGCGTGCTTTCAACTTAGTGTTCTAGATGCACTTCCACAGTTATTAATTGAGAGCTTTCGATGCCTGTACCATTTTTGCATTGGTATAATTGTGTGGCAAGTCCAATCATACTTCTATGCCCAGGGAAGTCGAGAAATTTTCCAACCCGAAAAATTCCTAGACCGGACCGGGAATCGAACCCAGCCACCTCCAGCATGGTCTTGCTTTGTAGCTGAACCTCTACCGACTGAGCTAAGGGAGGCCTTCCAAATAAACGAACTAGATAAAACAAAATTACACGATCTACATATAATGTAAACTTGTATGATATATGACACTCCATTTATGTACATCGTTGTAACAGAAATAGAAATTTACACTGCTTTTTGGAACTGTGTTTCAAAATAAGTAGATTTTTTTTTAAATTGCGAATGCCATGGAAGACTTTTTCAACCCCACATTGAAAGCCAATTTGGCCAGGTTGCCTAAATTATTCAGCAAGGAGAAAAAAATAATGGAGATGAAGAGAGAGAGAGAGAGAGAGAGAAGGAGTAGGATTATGGTATCTTTCGACGTCACAGCTCTTAAAAGTTACAAGCAGACGAAAGGCTCTCCAATGGGGAATCCCCTATACCCCTTTCTGTGTGAACTTTTCATGGCTAACTTGGAGACAATCCTGAAAGAGAAATGACTATTACCAAACCGTTGGTGGAGGTTTGCCAACGATATCTTCAGCGTTCTTAGCCCTTCAACAAATTTTAGATGAGATCAAGGATATAAAATTCACTCACGAGGTAGAAAAAGACGGAAAACTCGCATTTCTCGATCTTCTTGGCATCAGGGAATCGTCATCATCTTCTTCGTTTGAATACGAAGTTTACCGAAAACCAACAAGCACCAAAAGAGTTATCCCCTATACTTCCAACCATTCGTTCCAGTAAAAAATGGCCGCTATCCATCACATGATTCATCTGAACCCTTGAAACGAGTGTCCGCCCCATTTGATCAAGATATTACTAGTAAGATAAGAATACATTTAAAAAAATCAGATTAGATTTAATTTTCACTAGTAGACATAACCAGTTAAAAGCATTGTTAGGGTCCACCCAGTTAATGTTTAAGTAAAGCAGGCGTTTATAAAATAAGCTGTAATCATATTGCATAGGGAAGTGACTAATGTTGAGTCAAACTATTTTCTACTTTATGACACGATACTAGAAGGCAAGAACATGTATTTGGGTGGTGAGGTATGCTGCGAAAATATCAGCACCCGCAGTATACTTTGAATGAGAGTTAAACATGTAATTCCTCCTTCTGGCTCGCCCACTGCTGCAGTTTCAAGAGCTCCAAAAGGACAGGATAGTCAGAAACGTAATGCTGGCAAGTCTGAAGAAAATTCCAGACGAATAAAAAGTAAGAGGTTGTTTCCAAGACTCGACCGAATATTTGACGTAGGATTACGTGCTCGGTATCAATATTCGGTGACTGTTAGGGAAACCACTTTTTCCCATGACGGAAACGCCTCGTTTTCTGATGACAAAACGCACGGAATTTTCGGTTTATTCAATAGATAATAAAAAAGAAAAAAAATATTGGAGGAATTTCTTGCTTAAATTTTCAAATTGCGAGATATTCGCAATCAATCTTATAAATTCGAGATTTTTTAGATTTTTTGAACTTTTTTTCTAGAGTCTAGGATAAAACCTTACTTTAATTCAAAGAGTTTCTGGTTAAGTCGGTCATTGCGAGAATTGTTATGTACCGCTTCAATACTGTTAAGCATTTGACCACAAACGTTTGATTGCTTTGTACATTATCAAAGAGTTTTGGGGATGATGTGGCTGGTAGCAAGGTGAGCGGACGTTCAATGAAAATTGACTCTTAAGCAACAATAATTTATGGAGGTCTTAAAAAGAACCGTTTTGTCGTCATGGTTGAGTAATTCTGAGCTATTAGGTTGTTCAAAACGGATTAGGCTGGCGGACTGTATGTTATTTGTAACGAGGGAGCAGCGCTTGGCATAGATGGTCCACAGTGGCTCACGACGAGCAACTGAATCCGATCAGTAGCGGTCCGGCTTCTTTCTCCTTCTTCTGTGAATCGAGGGCTCTTGAGGGCAGCCTTGATATCTAGCTGCTAGCGGGGAGCCTTTCGTTGCTTACTGGAGAAAAATGTACAACGCCACGCACTGAAAGCACTGATGCTGCTGCTACTACTGATGATGACCGACTGGACACCACCATACACGGTGATTGAATAAGCACCGTTCGGCGAGACCGGATAGAATTCCATTTTGAAATCTTTGTAAGGGAAAGCGCTTTTTGCAGGCATTAGGTGATAATTTTGATCCAATGATGATCAAAATTATCACCGAATGCCTGCAAAAAGCGCTGTCCCTTACAAAGATTTCAAAATGGAATTCTATCCGGTCTCGCCGAACGGTGCTTATTCAATCACCGTGTATGGTGGTGGACAGTTGGACATTTGTGTAATTTTCAATAGTGACCTATTGAAAATTCATAAAGTGTTCATTTTAGCAGATTTGTAGAAAAATGTCCAATCGATTGGCTTGTTTAGAATTAAAATCCATCCACTATTAACAAAGTTATAAGTGGTCAAAACCTGACCACTTTTTGTAATGCGGTCGAATTTGGTTTTTTTTTTTTAATTGCACCCCCAATATGTTGCCGAAAGACATAATCCTACGTCAAAAAATCGGAAGAAACGATGTCAATTTGACATCGAATTTTTTTGTAAAATCAAATTACGATTATCAGGACAGTTTACACCATACGACCACAGTTACGGTCAAACCGGTCAAACACCCAAAAAATTATTGACATGCTCAATAGGCAATCATCTCATTTTTCGAAACAAGTTAGACAAAATTGTGCTTATGCAGGATAGTACATGTTGTGAACGCTTTGACGGTCAATCCAGATGATCCGGAGAACCACTTTCTGGCAAATACACAATGATCTCATAACTCTGAACATTAGCGACAGAATAGTAAATTTCAATTTTACAGGGAAATCGGGTTGGTGGCGTCTTAATATCTTGCAAGGAAAAGTCTCCAGCCAATACTGAGTCTGGCTCATAGTTGAGTTCCGTTTACTCAAATTCGCAAAAATACGAAGGTCACGTTTAGATTTAGCAAAATTTTACTAAAATATGAAAAAATCTCACTCACATTTGTGTGAAATTTACTCATATATGAGTAAACCTTTACTCAGTCTATGAGTAACTTACATTTATTAGAATTTCAGTAAACGGCACAATCGATTCAGCAAACTTTTTTTTTGTATGAAAATACGGTTCGAACGAAAACAAGAATATGAGTGATAGTATGATGGCTTAAATCGTTACCCTGCCGAGATATTCAAGTTAATCACAGTTTGTCGATTGATTTCCCACTGTGCACCGTTAGTCTGAAAAGCCGATATACCGAAAATGAGATCTAGTTACAGTCGTTTTCTATTGCATATTTTGGAAACAGAAGGGGTAGTTCGTGCCTCTTTCTCTCCTGATACTACTTTTAAGCTGAGGGTACTGGTAACTCTGACCATCTCGGGATCACTGACAATTTCAGAAATTTCAGGAATCCTCAACACTACCCTAACTCCGGCAACTCTCGGGTCTCATCAAGTGCTCTTGGAACTCCTGTATTGAAAGAGTATCCTAGAACTTCAAGAGCTCCCAGCCTTCTCTTAAACTCCCAGAACTGCTGGAACATCTAGAGTTGAGGTCACCAGAGAACTGACAATGATGGAGCTTGTAAGATCTTGCCTTCTCAAGAGTTCCTAGCCTAAGAAGTTTCGAAAGTTAATAATGATTCCAGAAAAAAAAATCATGAGTTCCGAGTGTTTTAAGAGTTCTTGGAGTACAGGGAGTTAATAATTTTCACTATGTTTTGGGAGCATCGTTGCTTTAAATATAATTAACCAAACAGTAAGTATTTCTGAATCTTCCTTTAACCTTACTGTTACCAATTTTGAACAAGTTTAAATCAAGTTTACATATTTGTATTAGAACATGGGCGAAGTTTGACTTATATTTGCGGTATTTGTCGTTTGGTTAGCTTGAAGTGTCTAATTTAAATTTCTGGTGCGATAAAACAATACCTTAAATGATTTCTTAATTCAAAATTATTTCATCTTGCTTGTCTCATGCAGGATGCCCACTGAGCATCCCTTATAAATGTCGTGGTTGTTCCTTAAGAGACCCGTTAATGTGACCTAAAACTTTATTTTCTCAGCAGGATCCTGAGCATCTCGATAGTAAATATAAATCTTGATATATTTAAACGACGATATTTAGTCTCCTTAAACAAAAATGCTAAGATGTTCATAGAACTAACTGATATTTGATCTTTTTTGTCGAGCTATTTCACAACTTTACACGCAAATGTATATTTCAAATCAAAACCTGAAAGTAATTTAATTGAAGCTTACGGGTTGTAATTTAGCCTGATCCTATATTAGGCCCATCGCTGAAACCCAGGGTGAAAATTACTGTATAGAATTGAAGAGGTTTTTTGAGTGTGTTGATTTATTTCCTTTTAATTCCGGAATTATTTATCTTTTGACAGATACGCGTTTTTCGTCCACTACTTGTAGACTTCATACTACTCGTGAGTACTTGGCACCATAACTAATTATAGCGGAATTAAAAGGAAATAAATCAACTCATTCAAAAAAGGGTTTCCGTTAACAGGTTCGACATAATTAAAAGATTGTCTGTAATTGATAACTGTCAACGATATTTAGCAATTCACTCATTCATCTATACGTAGAAAAATCATTCAAGGTTATTCACACCTTAGTTTTGGCGATAGAAGCAAAATACAGATATAGGTCCAAACCACACAACACAACCACATTTTTCTTCACTCGAATAAACTTGTTTTACCTTTAGAATATTAACCGGAGACAAATTCTCGAACAGAGTCACGCTGCGTTTGGCTCAGCAAACGTAAAAATCACCTTAAAAACACAATTTCCAAGCCTTAATCTTCACAGCTTCCCAACACAAAACTAGGCCCAGCAGTCTACATAAACCGAAAACTCAAACGATCATACGCAAAACACTGTCCTTAGAGGCAAATCACAATCACAAAATGGTACTCCACGATGTCCATCCGGGTTAGTTCTAGGCTGATGTTCGACTTTTCTTCGACCGAGGGGGTGCAACTTTCCAGACTGGCGCTGGTTGACTGCCTGTTTGCCTTTATTCCAACCGCGATGAGCACGAGTGTCGTCCGTTCAACGCGAGTGTTCAAGTGCGAATAATCAACCGATAAGCGAGTCGGACCGGGAGCACATCGGGGCGGCGGCGCACTGTTCATTGTTCTTTGCACTGTTGCTGTTGTTGGTGCTGCTTCGGCCATGCCTGCCGTTGCGTCGTCATCATCGTCGTCGTCATAAATGTTTATCTCGAACTCGTAACAAAATCATCAATGATCTCGACGGAATCAAACCTCAATATGGTCTATCCTAAAATGTCCGTCAAATATTAATGTAAACACGCCAAAAAAAAAAACTGGTTTATGCTAATCAGAGCACGACTGATAGAGAGAGGACGAGAGAGTGCGAATCGATCAACCGATTCAGAACGTTCACATTGATATTATTCCACAGATTTCTGTGAAATGTTACCGAAATCTCAACAGCTGACCGTTCGGTGATTTTTCACAGTTTTTCTGTAATTCTCGTGTAACATTTGAAAAAGGGTCTCTATCCTCGTTGATCGATTCTCTTCATCGACTTTCTCTTTGGTTTACCACGGCAACATAAACGAATTTTTCTCTAAGCTTGCAGCACAGTTCGACAGAAGATGATGTTAGCTTGCGCCTGAAACAACAAACTCAATGGGAAATTTATTTGCAGTCGCAGTGATAGGCCCTTTTCTCGTGTTGCGCGAGAATTGTTCACTGATATTCTATGAAAAATTTCAGGAAAACTGTTTAGCTAAAGCTGTTGAGATTTCGGTAAAATTTCACCGAAATCTGTGAAATAATCTTAGTGTTTTGTCATCTGAATAGTGACATCCGAAAGCACGTGCTCAAAAACCTTTACTAGATTTTATGTTTCGGCCAAATGAAAAATAACGGGAAGTCAAATAAATTCAGTTGGAACCATTCTGTAAAGTGTTTTGCCTCAAACACAAGCTTTATTTACAAAGAAATAAGATCATCTGTAATTTTCCAAGATGACTTTTGAACAATTACTTAAAACATTCAGATAAACAATATGACTACGAAGCCAATAAAACGTTGGGATCTAACCCCGAAAAACCAAAAGATATTTGATTAAATTGATGCTCATGATTTGTTTTCTTAATCAATATTTTGGACTATAACTAAATCAAGACCTGAGACTAACAAAAAAATTAAGATCCCATACTTGCAAGAATATTCAATTCCTGAATCATTCTACACTTCTTAACACAACCGGGAAAGATTTCATTACAGAATATACCCGAATAAACAAGTAATGCCCGAATAAACAAGTATAGAAAAGCTATTATACCATTTATAAACCTAAGATAAAGTTAATCATATCGACGAAATGTTATGATAAAATAAGATCCTACCATAATCTCAATAGGTCGTTAAGTATAGTTACCATAAAAACTACTTTTGACAACGTCTTACGGGTAGGTACTGGGGGTAAATGGAAAATCTAAAATTGCCATCACGAAAAGGTGTTAGGTTTTGAAGGCTTATAACTTTGTTATCTATAGATAAAATTAAAATCCAAATGCACCTGGGTAGCGATAGGAGCTGTCCCAAGCGAGCGGCTTTCATCCAGATCCGGCAACAGGCTTCCACGAGGAACCAACCTGGTCGACACCGCAATAATCGTGCTCCTATTGTCAACATGGACACGTTTCCAGTAATTCAAGCTCGTCGTATGGTCCCGAACCTAGCACCGCTTCCATTAAACCAGCACCCCTCGTTGCGAATCCAACTTCAGATCAAGCGGGTCCCAACCACCGTTAAGTTCAGCATCGCCTCACTGCCGCTGTGGCCCAGCCGTGCCATGGATCTACTGCCCCGGGATTATCGTACGCCCGTGCTGTGTCAGGTGAGTCAGAAGAAAGTTTTCCACTCACAAGCGACGAACTAGTCATCCTCGTGACTGAGGTGATCATAATCTTGCGCACCACCAAGACACTACCTGAACAGCTTCGTGCAGTTATGACCTTCGTGCAAAAGTATGGACCGTCAAAATAGCCAACTGGAACGCTTGCTCGCACAAGAACAAAATCATTGAGTTCGTTGATTTCCTCAATTGCCGGCGCCGGTGGTGTAGAGGTAAGCGTGACTGCTTTCTAACACCCCGATGGGTCTGGGTTCAATCCCAGCCGAGGTCGGTGGGATTTTTCGGAGGCATAAAAATCTCTGGTCACGTCTTCCTTCGGAAGAGAAGTAAAGCCGTTGGTCCCGGCCCATGTGTGTTGAATGGGTGCGACATCCTACGCAGGTGTGGAAGCTTCCTTCCTGCACATTCGATTGCCGTCAATGGATGGCAATCGATGTCCGTCGGTGATTGGCACTAGATTGCGGAACAGAGACCGACGCTAAATAAAGGAAAGGATGATTTCCTCAATGAACATAGCATAGACATCGCTGTCATCACCGAAACACACCTGATGCTGGAGATAAATGTTCACCTCCCCGATTTTTGGCTCATAAGGCTAGACCGGACCAGCTGCTGCGGTGGAGCAGTGGCTATCGCATTAAGAAGAAATAGTGGCTGTCGACTGCTACCGAGTTTCCAGCTGAAGATGATCGATGCAGTGGGTGTGAAAGTCTCCACTCCTGTCGGCCCTATTACCATCATTGTGGCCTACTGTCCCAAACAAGTCACCATCAGGGACGGGTCGGCAGCAGACCTGCAGAGAGACATCATCAAACTAACTCGACGCCGTGAGAAATACATCAACAGTCGACGCAACCAAAACGGCATAATCCTGAACGACGACCTGCAAGAGGCTCACTACACCATAATAGCGGACTCTTCCACCCGCTTGAGTCAGCCTAGTTTTTTTTTTTATAGTAAGGAAAGCTTCAAAAGCCCGGCCTGTCACTGTGTTGCGTGTTTGTTCTCCTTCTGGCACAGTGTGGGACTCTTAACCACTAAAACCTTACTCGCCTCTAGCCACTATCCCCCCGAAACTCCCCTAGAGTATTTCGTCGGGGGGGGGGGCGCCTGTGCTCAAGCACTTCTCTTTAGCTCAGCTAGCCGGCGTTGCTAACTCGCTGATCATCTCTCCATTTTCGCTGCAGCTCCGACAAAATTTGCGTCACTGCCCTGCTGACGACGCTCCACGGCCTCTCATCCCGGCACATTTTACTGACGACATTTCTCGCGCTCAGGGCCGGCATCTCCACTCGCACTGCCTCAAATCTTGGGCAGTAGAAAACCACGTGCTCCGGCGTTTCGTCTACGTTGCCACACTCCGGACAGAGGGGTGACGTTGTGTGTCCAAAGCGATGCAGGTACTTCCTGAAGCAGCCATGACCAGACAGGAACTGCGTCAAGTGGAAGTTGACTTCTCCATGCTTCCTGTTCACCCAGGTCGAAAGAATCGGTATTAGCCTGTGTGTCCATCTACCGTTCTCCGCTGCGTCCCACTCCTGTTGCCACTTAACCATCGACTCCGTTCTCACCATTTTTCGTACTCCTCTGGTATCTCTTCGCATATAGCATTCGGTGTCCTCCGCCAAGGTGATGACGATGGGTATCATACCGGCGATAACGCATACTGCTTCCGTCGAAATTGTTCTGTACGCACTCACGGCTCGCATGGCCATGAGGCGGAACGTACTGTTCAATTTTCTTTGGTTCTTCTTCGTTTTCAGCGCTGCATCCCAGGCTGGACCTCCATACCTCAGTATCGACGACGATGCACTAGCCAGATGACGCCTCTTGCTGCTGCTTGGTCCAGAATTGTTAGGCATGATTCTGGCTATCGCATTGATGGCCTTAGCCGCCTTCTCACATGCGTAGTCGACGTGACTATTGAAGTTTAGCCGGTCATCGATCATCACTCCAAGATACTTCAGCACGCGCTTTGATGCTATGGCGTTCTCCCCGACGGTAATTTCTGCTCGCTGAACAGCTTTGCAGTTACTGACAAATAGCACTTCCGTTTTGTGGTGGGCTATCTGCAGCTTCGCTCCTTGCATCCAGTTGGAAACCGTGGCGATCGCCTCGGTTGCCAGCATTTCCACCTCTTCCAACGTCTCGCCTATTACCGCCAACACGACGTCGTCCGCAAATCCTACGATCTCAACTCCTTTGGGCAACTTCAGCGTTAGCACGCCGTTGTACATCACGTTCCAGAGCGTTGGGCCAAGGATGGAGCCTTGTGGCACACCCGCCGTGATCCAGATTGATTTCTCTCCCATGTCCGTCTCGTAGACTAGAACCCGGATCTGGAAGTAACTCCTTATAATGCTACACAGGTAATCAGGAACCCTCATTCCATGTAGTGCTTCGGCGATGGCCTCCCAGCTGGCGCTGTTGAATGCGTTCTTCACGTCGATCGTTATCACGGCGCAATATCGATCTCCTCTCCGCTTCTGTTTAGACGCTTTCTCCGCACTCTCGACCACTGTCCGTATTGCATCCACCGTTGATCTCCCTTTCCGGAATCCGAACTGCCTCACCGACAATCCATGCTCACTCTCCGTGAATTTCGTTAGCCTGTTGAGGATGATCTTCTCCAATAGCTTTCCGACTGTATCCAGCAAGCATATAGGCCTATACGATGCTGGATCCCCCGGCGGTTTTCCGGGCTTCGGCAGCAGCACTAGCTTCTGTATCTTCCATCGGTCCGGGAAGTGACCTTCATCCAGACACTTCTGCAGCGCTATCCTGAACATGTCCGGAAACGCCTGGATCGCCACGTTGGGGATTCCATCCGGCCCGGGAGCTTTCTTCGTCTTCAGTCCTTTCGCCACTGCTTCGAGTTCCTCGTTGGAGACTTGTCTACCTTCGGTGTTGTCTGCCTCTGCCTCGCCGTACGGTGTAGGTGGCCAGGTCATTTGGTCGTGCTTCGGGAAAAGTCCCTCCACGATGACATTTCAACGGGCATCGTTGGACCTCTAATCTTCACCATCGCGACTCGGTATGCGTCACCCCAGGGGTTGACATCAGCGTCTCGACACAGCTCTTTGAAGCAGTTTGACTTGCTCAGCTTTATCTCCCGTTTTAGAGCGGCCTTGGCTGCTCGAAACACCACCCTTCTCTCTGCTCTGTCTGCATCAGTTCTTGCTCTCTG